AGTGGGCATATCACCTGATATTGATGCTTTTTTTCATTTCATACCCATTTCCCGGATTACTGCACTTGAGGGCTGCAGTTGAACCGGAATTCATGTTTTTTATATCGAAATTTAAGTTGACATTTGTAGACTATGTTACGAAATGCAGCAGATACCACTTGGGAACTTGTGTTGGGGTATTAACTGAGTCGGGGACAGTGAATATTCCATTCCCACCTCTAATGTCATCTCTGGCTGTCTGTGCTGTATAGAAGCGGAAAAAATTGTAAAGTACTTTTGACCTAAAAACATTCCTAATTGGTCGCAATTAACTTAGCTGCGAGAGATGCGACTACGATTGGAGTACCGGTTGGACCTGTGGAGTGATCTCCGCGTAGCCCTGAATTCACAGCAGCATGCAACGAAAAAAATTGACGTAGAGACAAAGGGAGGTCAGGAAACGGGGAAGCAGAGTTCTCAGTGGTATGCACGTCAGTGGCTCGCTTTTCTCGATCTGCACGGCCTCGACCTGCACCACGCTATGCATGCTCTGCGCCGGCGCCTCTCTCTTCTCGAATCGGGCTGCGTCTCATCGGAAACCCTCCTGCCTCCTGGAGTCGCCAACGTTGTTACGGCGAAATCCTCCAGCGAAGGCATCAGGCTACCTAACTACTGGCTCCCCAAGCGACTCACCGTGATCACTGGTTGGGGCTCTAGCTCACCTCGTCTCAGCAACCGTAAACCCAGCTCTACTTTGCGTCACAACGTTATCAACTTTCTCCATTCATCTGCCTATGACTTCGAGGAGATACCCTTCAGTGGCTCTGGTAAATTCGAGGTTCGACTTAGGACCAAAGTACACTAAGCCGGAGGCGACGGGCTTGTGATACTATCTTAGTGCCTCTCCGCTCTTTTTTATATTCATATCAACGTTGATGATTTTTTATGAACAAGTTGTAAACTATCTTGTTATGTATTACTACCCTCTTTTATCAAATGCTTTATAAATGTGCATACATTTATGTGACGCCTTAGTGAAATGGGTATGAAGGTGAGCTGTCTCTGTCATCGACCCATTAAGTTCTTACAAATAAAGTAATCGTTGGCTATGGGCATATCAACCATGTTTCAGCTTTAGTGAGGAAATTGCTATCCATACAGGTGCTCTTTCCCTTGAAATGCCTTTTGCGGCAGTTTTGA